ATTTATCTACCCTATTGGAACATACAGTATTTATTTATTTATTTATTTATTTGAAGCTTTTACTCAAGCTTTCAATTGCGTCATGTTTTGTATATTTCTTCCATTCATCTGGTATCTTACCCATCCCCTCAAATGTTTTACTGTAGTGCTTTTCCAGGTCTGGTCGGAATCTACACATAAACCACTTCCAGTACGGCAGCTCAGAGAGGTCAGGGGTGATACTCCACTTTGCATAAACTCCTCCTGCTGTTCGGTAGTCTTTATATGCAAATCTGTCATCTGATACACGAAATTTTTTATTACTTGCCACTAAAGTTGTGCAAAAACCAGCACAGAGATAATTTGTATTAGAGTAATGCCATCCATTAATTCCATCCACTCTGTGGAAAGGAACATTATGATCCCCATCATGGTTTTCAATGGTGTTGGTGCAGATGGCTGCACAGAATGGACACTGAACCCAACAGCACTGACAGAAGTGATAAATCAGAAGCTCATCTGGTCTGTCACTGTTGTCCAGCTTTGCTAAAAATGGCACATTTTTGAATCTGCTGCTAATATCAGACATTATGGTTGGAAGTTCTTTTTTTATCACATCTTCTAGTAAGTTGAAATCATCAACATCATCATGTTTCACTCCACTGAGGTCTTTTTCAGAGAAGATCAGCACATCTGAGAGCTGCTGTGTGAAATTCTTCAGCCACAAACAAACACCTCCATGGTTCACTTGAACATGTTTTGTAGATTCATGTGCTGCTTTCACAATCTTCTTCTGCAAGAGTTCAGTGTTCTCCATCATCTTGGGTAAAACACTGTCACTGAACTTATCAGTGATGTACTGCTTGACTTCATCTCTGATGAAACTCTTGAAGTGATCTCTGGGAGTTTTAATGTACTCCATGTATTTGTCAAAGTTCTCATTGTCTGCCAGTGTCTTCAGGATGTGTTTCTCCAGATTTGATCTGTTTCCATTCAGTGATGGACAATTTGTTCTCATTTCACCTGCTAAGTCAATGGCAGTCTTCTCGTAGACACTCTGCTCAACAGGCTCTTTGAGCTTCTGACAGATTATCTCACCAAAAATAGCAGCTGATGCAGCTCCATCAAGATGTTTTTTAAAAATACTATAGTACTCTTCTCTCTTCTTCTTAACATATATTACAGGATCATTGGCATCTCGGAACTGTCTGTGTTGGTCAGTGATCACATTGTTTGCTCTCTTACAGATGGAAATGACCAAATCCATGAAGAATTCATTCTTGAACAAATATTGTACTGATTCTTCCTGATGTTGTATTACTCTTGCCTTAATGTAATCTATTAGATTTTGAATGCAGCTGATGTTGTAGCCCATCTTTGAAATATTAAATGACTGAATCATTTTGTCTGTCTGCAAAGCAACATCTGTGACAAACATTCCTATTTGGGTTTCATCCTCTTTAGATAGAATGTAACCAAGTGTCTTCTTAGTTGATCTGATGGCATTTGTGAAAACACCTGTAAATCCACCGGATTTCTTTATTTTTATGTATTCTGAATAATCTGGCACAGAAAAAATATTCCTCCTCTTCCTCCAGTAGTCTACAGGGAGACATCCCTCATAGATGTCGCTAAGTATGTCTCTCACATCTCTCATGATGTAAATGTTTTTGATTGCAGGAGTATTTGTGATGATCTTCTGCACACACTGTTTCCAAAACAAATCAAACTCTTTCTTCAGTGTTTCTACATCATTTGCTTTGTCTTTGAGTTTTAAGGCAAGTTCTTTGCTTTTTTCAAAGAGAGTGTTTTCATGATGTGTCCTCTGAGCATCAATCTTTTTCCTCAGGTCTCGCTGCTGAAGAACCTCATTTAATTTCCTCTTCGTTTCTCTCACAATATTTTCCTGAACATCTTTGATTTTGATTTCAAATGATGTTTTCCAGTGAATCAGTATTTCAGCATCAGTGTCTTTCTCAAAAAAATCAGACATTGATTTTTTTACTTCTTCACTTGTCGTCTTCAGTTCTCTTTGAAGGTCAGTTTCTTTAACCTCATGAATTGCTGAATTTCCTATTAAGTTGTGTAGTTTGTTCTCAATTTTCGTCATGGCACTGCGGAGACTCCAGGACCATTTGCTGTATTCAGCCTCCAGTTTCCTGTAGGTTGAAATCTCCAGAGAATTTCTGAAGCTGAAGACAAATCGTTCATTTAATAAAGCCTCCCAGAGATCTTTAATACGATCTTTTAAGTGTGCCAGCATCATTCCATCTGATTTTGAGGCATGAAACATAATAGTTTTCTTTAATTCTTGAATATTCTCACAGTAGTTTGGGTTTGGTGGTGCCATGGGTGGGCTGCCCTCCCAGAGCTGAGCAAAATACTTCACATCATTCTGAACATCAAATGTAATAACATCACTGAAACATTCTGCATCATAAACTTCATCTTTAGCAGCAAGTTTTGTCATCTCATCCAGTTTCTCCTGCAGTCGTCTCTTTCCCTCCATGTTTTTCTCTCCAGCTGTGATGTCTGAAACATTCTGATGCACAAACACACAGCTGGGATTCAGTCGGACCTCCTTCATCCTCATGAAGGCCTGAACAACAATCTGAAGAATCTCCTGTATCTCTGATGGGTTTTCTCCAAAGATGTTTATCAAGGTCAGATTTCCCAGACCAACAACAAATGTGGCCAGCTCATTGTCATGCTGTCTTGTTGATCTTCCAGCCAGTTCTAGAGCTCGGAGACCTTCAGTGTCAACAACCAGAATATAGTCAAAGTTCATCTGTGTTTTCATCTCGTCTGAGACTCTGATCAGCTGCATGAAAGCTCCTCTGGTGCACCGGCCAGCACTGACGGCAAACTCAAGTCCAAACATAGCATTCAGCATGGTGGATTTTCCAGAGCTCTGAATCCCTAAAACTGACAGCACAAAGACTCTCTGGTCCCCCAGTTTCTGGACGAGTTGATCTAGAACAGCAGAGATCCAGATCACAGGAACATGAGCAGCATCTCCATCCATCTGATGCACAAACACACAGCTGGGAGACAGATTTACCTCCTTCATCCTCATGAAGGCCTGAACAACAATCTGAAGAATGTCCTGCATCTCAGATGGGTTTTCTCCAAAGATGTTGATCAATGTCAGATTTCCAAGACCAACAACAAATGTGGCCAATTCATTGTCATGGTGTCTCATTGATTTTCCAGCCAGTTCTAGAGCACGAAGACCCTCAGTATCAACAACCAGAATATAGTCAAAATTCTTCTTATCTGGCACTCGGACCAGTTGCATGAAAGCTCCTCTGGTGCATCTGCCAGCACTGACGGCAAACTGGAGTCCAAACATGGCGTTCAGCATGGTGGATTTCCCAGAGCTCTGAAGCCCTAAAACTGACAGCACAAAGACTCTCTGGTCTCCCAGTTTCTGGACGAGTTGATCTAGAACAGCAGAGATCCAGATCACAGGAACATGAGCAGCATCTCCATCCATCAGCTCCAGTGGAAATCCAGAGATCATCATCTCTGCTGCGAGACTCGGGAGAGAAGATAAGTTGAACTGCAGGTCTTTCTTATTCTCATTAACAGATGAACATGATTCATAGATCTGACCAATCTCCCTCATGATGTGCTCCAAACCAAAGGCTGCAGCTTGAAGTTCCTCAGATATTCTCTCAAGTTCAGTTTGTTCAGCTTTGAGTTGTTCAGGTTTATCATGATTCTCTTTCAGTTTTACAACTGTTGACCACTTTTCATTGTAATTGTGGTGTAGAGCAGAAAGGTCAGCTGAGATATATTCATCCAGGAGGATTCCAAGACATTTAAGGAAAAAAGTCTTCTCATGTTCATCATCTGATGTCATTTCTTTAATAAAGAGCTTCAAGAACTCACTGATGTCAGATTCATGCTGCTGTTCACGGATTTTCTTCAAGTCTGTTTGTTTTCTACTAATGTCCATTTCTGTCTCATCTCCTTGAGGTCGGTGTAGTTCTTTGTTCTTCTGACTCCACTGATGCCACAGTTTCCCCTGATGGGGAATAAATGATTCTTTGATTTCTGTCAGATCTTTATTCTCCAGTAATTGAATCATCTGCTGTGCTGCTTCTCTTCCTCTCCTGCAGTCTTCATCATCTTCCTCATCTACTCTGATGTCTGAGTGTTTGCACACATCTTCAAGTCTGAAAGTGGAATTTGATTCTGAGAGACAATCATTTATAGTTGTTCTCAGTTCTTCAGATACATCAGACTCATTTCTGTCTTCCAAACCAATTTTGAATTTCCCTTTCTTCATCTCAGTTACAGTAGATTCATCCTTCGTAAAAAGACAAATAAGTGGCTTTATGTTTGTGTACAAATTTTGAATTATTGTTGCACTTCTGTCATTCCTGTCAAGTTGTGGTAGAAGGACAACGTTCACAGAGGCCATTTCAGTGAGGATCTGCAGCTGTTTCTCATGTTTTCTTGCATCCCCGTGCAGATTACAGAATGCAACACAGTCAGTGAATTTGTCTGTGTCTTTCCCAGAGGGGCAGAACCAGGCGATCTCCACCACTCCATCCATCAGGACTCTGGTTCTGCTGCTGCCTGGGCAGTTCCTGTGGAAAAATGTGTTGTGTTTCTCATTGATCAGACTGTTCATAAGCTGAGACTTGGATGAAGACATATAGCCAAACCTGAAGAACAACACCATTGGAGTTTTTGCCTTGCAGAATGGCTGGATTTTATTTTTTATATTTTTTATCTTCCAGCTTTTGTTGATTTGTCTAAATGTCCAGAGAGGAAACTCAATCTGTTCTGTGAATGGATCAGGAACAAGCAGAGGCAGAGCGTACTGACACTGGGACAGTTTAGTGATCATCAGCTGCTTCAGGAAACCATCAGCACAATGAAACACAGCCATCTGAACATCCATCGGGTGAATTCGCTCAGATTGACTTGTTTCTTTGTTTGGCAAAGACACTGCTTTGAATATATCACCAATGTCTTCAGTTAAGTCAGTATGTCTTTGTTGTGTTTGATCCTGTTCATTGACCTTATTAACATTAATATATCTTGCTCTGTAGTTCATCATCAGTAGTTTTTGTAGGAAACTCTGAATCAGCTCCTTTTCAGCACATGACTCAAGAGACTGTAATGAATGTTTAGTTATCTGAAGAACATCTGCAGCGCTAAGTTTATTATGGCACCTGTCTTTAAGATGCAGTCTGCAAAACAGATGCTCCGTTTTTTTTTCAGTCTTTTTCGGATGTAGGGTTTCATTTGCTCTGACTCCTGCTGCTGTTGCAGTAGCCTTGATATCTCCCTGTTTAAAAGACAAAACAATTATTTTTCTATTGTTGTTCAATGATTTAAACAACTCTTATTATTGTTTGTTGATTTTAACATTGTATAGAATTGCAATGAACTGAACAACACTGAAAAAACTAACAAAAAGTTTACTCAACTTTTTGAGTTATCATTTTGGACTCACTCAGTTAATTTGTATTTACTTAGAATATTAAGTATTTTTAACTAATTTAGTTATTTGAACCTATCAAGTTTAGCTGTAAAATCTTTGTGAGTTGAACTTTAAGTTTTCAATAATAACAAAATTCATACCAATTTTCATTTAACCTCATTTGGCTTATTTTCTTATTTCAACCAAATTTGCACTTTCTCTCTCTCTGAGGTGGAAACATTTTTATATACTAATATGTAGAAGGTGCACAGAGTCATTCACACAAACACAAAACACCACCATTGTAACAAACATGACACTTAAATAATGCAATAAACATTCATTAAACAACAAAAGATGTAATATAAAATTTATCTAGGTTACGTACGTAACCATGGTTCCCCGAGGGGACTGAGACACTGCATCAGAAATACATTGGGAACAGCCCTGCATGACTGTGTCCTGAATCACATGTGAAATCAGTGCAATGGAATGGCGAGAAGTCATGGCTGGGGTGACATAGAGACCAGGAAGCTTAAAAGGGCATCTGAAACAAACAGGACTAGCTTCTGATAGGTCAAAGCAAGTCTCTCATAGAGATGCAGGAAGTATGA